CTTTGAGCCACAGGCGCCACCCCGTTCTTTGTACTTTTACCCATTCGAATAGGTACATACAACAGTGTATGAGGGTACCACTTGCTCCACATATTCACCAACATTTGTTATTACCTCTTGGTTTTAGCCATGTAGTGAGTGTGAAGTGGCACCTCACTGTGGCTTTGATTTGGATTTCCCTAATGACTAATGGTATTAAGCATCTTTTCACATGCTTATTTGTCATACATATATCTTCTCTGATTAAGTGTCTTTTCAAATCATTTGCCTTTTTTTTTTTTTTTTTTTTTAGACAAAGCCTTACTGTGTTGCCCTGAGTAGAGTGCCTTGGCGTCATAGCTCATAGGAACCTCAAACTCTTGGGCTTGAGCAATCTTCTTGCTTCAGCCTACCAAGTAGCTGAGACTACAGGCATGTGCCACCATGCCCCACTAGTTTTTCTTTTGTCTATTTTTAATAGAGATAGGGTCTCTCTCCTGAGCTCAAGCAGTCCACTCGCCTTTGCTACCCAGAGAGCTAGGATTAAAGGTGTGAGCCACCACACCTGGCCATTTGCCCATTTTTAAAAAATGTAATGAATTTCTTGTTTCATTTTGAAAATTCTTTGTACATTCTGGATTCAATTTTTTTCTCTCTCTCTCTTTTTTTTTTTTTTTTCGCCGGGGCTGGGTTTGAACCTGCCACTTCTGGCATATGGGACTGGCACCCTACCCTTTTGAGCCACAGGCACCGCCCTGGATTCAAATTTTTTATCATACTATGTGATTTACAAATATTTTCTTCCAGTCTGTGGCTTGTCTTCTTATCTTCTGAACATTGTCATTCAATGAGCAGTTCTTAATTGTGAAGATGTCCAGTTTATTAAGCTTTTATTTTATGTATTATGCTTTGATGTTGTATTTAAGGAATCTTTGCCTGACCTGAAATCATGTTCTTCTACATATTCTAGAAATTGTATGTTTTAGGCTCACATTTAACTGCATAATTTTTTTTTTTGAGACAGAGTCTCACTATGTCGCCCTCCGTAGAGTGCTGTGGCTCACAGCTCACAGCAATCTCCAACTCTGGGCTTAAGCAATTCTCTTGTCTCAGCACCTGTAGTAGCTGGGACTACAGGTGCCCTCCACAACACCCACTATTTTTTGGTTGTAGTTGTCTTTTTTTTTGGTTTTGTTTTTGAGACAGAGTTCCATTATGTCACACTCAGTTGAATGCTGTGGCATCACAGCTCACAGCACCTCAAACTCTTGGGCTTAAATGATTCTCTTGCTTCAGCCTCCCAAGTAGCTAGGACTACAGGCACCTGCCACAATGCCTGGTTATAGTTGTCATGGTTGTTTGGCAGGCCCGGGCTGGATTCGAACCTGCTAGCTCTGGTGTATGTAGCTGGTGCCCTAGGTGCTAAGCTACAGGTGCCAAGCCTGCATAATTTTTTTTGAAATATCTTTTCTTTTATTATTTTACTTTTATTATATTTATTTATTTGAGATAGAGTCTCACTTTGTTGCCCTGGGTAGAGTGTCATGGTGTCACAGCTTACAGCAACCTCCAATTCTTGGGCTCAAGCAATTCTCTTCCTTTACCCTCCCTAGTCGTTGGGACTATAGGCACGCCACAATGCCCAGCTAATTTTAGACATGGGGTATTACTCTTGCTCAGGCTGGTTTCAAACCCGTGAGCTCAGGCAATCCATCTGCTTCGGCCTCCCGGAGTGCTAGGATTACAGGCATGAGCCACTGTGCC